ACATCAGGGGTAGATGATGTGTATATAATATGCAAACTCTAACTAAACTCCCCAATATACCTATGTCTATACCTAAAAAAAATACTTCGACAAAAAATCCAAACACCACAAAAAAAAAAAAAAAAAAAAAAAAGCTCGGCACGCGAGTCACATGCGTATCGTTGACCTTTAATTTGCGGCTCGTGGATATCTATTCTATATTTCAAGACTGTACAAATTAAGCAACCCGCTAGAAGTAGCGATAGTGCGACTCGCGAGCCACGTACGTTTCATTGACCTTTAATTTGCGGCTCGTGGATATCTATTCTATATTTCAAGACCATACAAATTAAGCAACCCACTGTGGGTAGCCATAGTGCGGCTCGCGAGCTACGTGCGTATCGTTGACCTTTAATATGCGGCTCGTGGATATCTATTCTATATTTCAAGACCATACAAATTAAGCAACCCGCTGGGGTTGGCCATAGTGCGGCTCGCGAGCCACGTGCGGCTCGTTGACCTTTAATAAGCGGCTCGTGGATATCTATTCTATATTTCAAGACTGTACAAATTAAGCAACTCCTAATGATGCCTGCTGGGTTTGGCCATAGTGCGGCTCGTGAGCCACGTGCGGCTCGTTGACCATTAATAAGCGGCTCCTGGATATCTATTCTATATTTTAGGGCTGGCCCAACCGCGACTCACGAGCCACATAAGGCTCTTTGATCTTTAACATGCGGCTCGTTGATATCTATTCTATATTTCGGGATTTTACAAATTAAGCAACCCCTAATGATATATGCCGAGGTAGCTCAAGCGCGGCTTGCGAATCACATGCGGCTCGTTGACTTTTAATATGCGCTCCGTCGAAACACGTTGGCTAAGCTTTTTTTCTTAACAGTTAATATATAGGGTAAATAAGAAAGAATTAAAGATTTATAATTATTTACTGGGTATAAATTGACTCCCCATTGGATTAAAACTTATGTTTAGTGTTAACAAAATCGTATGTGCAATTTTTATTCATGTCTTGCGGTTATCAAACATCTGAACTTTATAGTGTGTGACTCTTGCGTTAAACAAGTTTGTTCGCCCCGGGGATGGATAATGTGAGATCCGTCCTTCTAGCCTAATGATTCCCAACGTGGGGCGCATGCTCCATCGTTGGGACATGGTAATATTTTGATGGGTCATGCGTCGGATGTGCACCGTTCAGCTTACTTACTTACAGACAGACAGAATAAGAAGACAATTCAAGAATGAGTTTTAACAGTGAATTGTTTTCCAGTGAGCTTAAATTTCATTTTGTATTATTATTTCATGATTAAAATGATCAAAGTATATTACAGAATAAGATTTCCTTCAAATATTTTATATTTCTGCCTTTCAGTTCTCTATTATATATTTTGAAACGATATATATTTAACTGTCTTTTTGTTTTTTTAAATTTTTCTCTTTCATGGATGCCATCCTATTTGGAGGCTTGTTTAGAGACCAAGTTAATGGCCTTTTAAGCTTCCTTCATGTGAATTGGGTAAATAGCAGGACAGACTGAATCCTACACTCTTGGTTGGCAACAAGTCTAGGAAAAACCAGACTGAAGAGTGCTGGGCTCCGCCACACTATCTTGGTCAAGACACAACCAGGGCAACTACGGTTGCCCCTACGAATCTAATTAGCAACGGAATCATGATCATGAATCACAGTATTGACCAGGGGTGGCTACATCGTGAAAATATTCTGGCTCAGCTTCATTTTACAGAAATATTAATATAAAAGGTAAATAAGAAAAAAAAAATACATTTTTTTATAATTATAAGGCCTGATGAATCCGTCTAGCATGAAACAGTCTGTCGCCTCTGAGTGTTGACTCCAATGTTTACTCCACAGTTGCAGTCGTGTTTCGATGCAATGTTTTCGATGTAATATTATATATATATATATATATATATATATATATATATATATATATATATATCTTAGAAAAAAGTGTTCCCCATCGAAATGAAAAAAATTGTCGTGTCAGGGACTTTTGCAGTCAGGTAGTGTCATTTTATGCGGTAAGGTTTTCTGTAATTGTATTCGAAGTTATATACAGTCCACGCAACCGATTCTTAAGAGATTCAATATGGTCGGATGCTTTCAGACCGTATGCAACTTATTTTTGTAGTTTAAGTGATTTTTGCGCCAACAGTGTGTTCGTGCATCTATAGTAAATTCTTATATGGTTAGATACGAAGTTACATAAAGATCGCACGATCGATTCTCAAGAAAGTCAAAAGAAGAGTATGCATTCCTGTATGAAGTTTGGGGGCTAGCTCCAAATATTTTTTTTTTCTGTCTTAGGCTTATACTTGAACTTTATTTCAGTTAACAGCTCATCAGGGTAACTGGACAAAAATCCAGCGGACGAATTCTCAGCCTCTTGTCACAAAATCCCAGTTTCGCAAATAAATTCAAAATTCAAAGAACTTTTTAATGTCAAACTGAAGATTTCTTCACATAAACTCATGGATATTGAGACTCACCAACTGTGAAATATATCGAATCTGTGACCCTAACAGTGTTTTTTACGGCTTTGACTGTGTTTATATACAATCTCCGTGGTTTGTTTACGTTTCAGTGCAAAGTGTAAAAAACAATACCCCTCTTAAGGCTTTCTTCATATAAAATCAGGTTACTCGGACTCCCTAACTTTGAAATATATCGAATGGCGTTGTTTGGAAACGTTTTTTAGAGGTTGGACCGATTTACTATTGAAAGCAGAGCGGAATCATAAATTCGTGAAGTACCCAAAAGAAATCGATCTTTGTTATATATATATAAGTGTATATATTGGACGTCATTATAGTCAATGTTTCAATTTGACATTAAAATTTGAATTAAAAGATCCTTGAATTTTCAATGTTAAATTTGTTTCTTTTTATATATGGGGCTTTTATTTATTCATGAAACCGGGCTTTTGTCATAAGAAGCTGACATTTTTGTTCACTGTTTTTTTTTGTTCGCTCTGATTTTGCCATGGATTCGTTTCATGCATGCATAGTAAAGTCTTCTATGGTTATGTACGAAGTTGTATAAAGGCCGCACAACCGATTCTTAAGAAAGTCAAAATACGTAGATATGTTTAGGTCCGAAGTTTAGGAGACTTGCTGTAAGTTTTTTTTTTATGTTTTAGGCATATACTTTATCCAAACAAACAGTTCTTCAACGTGGTCATTACTTTTGTAAAAGTGGTCCTAAAACTTTTCATCCTGAATTAAGTTTCACGCTAAGACTTACTGACAGCCACTTCCGATAAAGGCTTCTCTTTCTTTTTCTTCTTCTTAAGAAATCATCCCAGTAATATCCAAGTAAATCCTTAGTTTGAGCATGAACAGACAAAAGTCTGTTGGACACGATAAAGATTGGTACAAAGCCTTGGAAGAAGAGAATTTGCGGCCAGAACGATTTTATCACTGTGAGAAGGTCTGAATTAAGATTAACTCTAAACCTCACAAAAAACCCTCTTAGACTGCCATTCTTATCACAATCTCTTTCTAGATTCCCTCTCTTTTTTTCTTATAAAACCGAACGCAAATCTGTTCCACCTCTTCACGCCGACTGAAGATAAGTAAACTCAATAGAAGAGGAAGCATTAAAAAAAGGAAAAAAAAAAAAAGGAAAAAAAAAAAAAAAACCAAGAGAGAAGTTATACATTAGTTACGGCCACTTGACATACGTGGACAGGACTCTTTTTAAAGTTATCAGTCTCCACTCGGCAGCCACTCATTAATCAGAAGGTGGAGTAGCCATAATTTTTATTTATTTTATTTTTATTTTTTCATGAGACGCTAACAGTATCTGTTCTGTTTAAGATTAGAAGCAGAGATCTGACCCCAGACTGACCGCTTAAAAGTGGGAAGTCGTAATCCACCAATATAAACATTCTGATAAACAAAGACTAACAAGAAACCGGAGAGAAAATGGATTCCAGAATCACACGTCGCGGAGGGGAGCTCGGAATTTTGTTGCCGTAATTTTGGAGCATGAGGGGAAAAAAAAAAAGAAAATGAAATCACTTATTAACGAAACTTGAACATGCATAGGGATATATATATATATATATATATATATATATATATATATATATATATATATATATATATAATATAGGAATTGATATATTTATAGAGAAAGAATGCTGAATATTGGGGACAGAGCAGGGACCACCAAAATGGAAAAATTGAAAAAAGAAACGTGAAACGAGCGTAGATTATTTGGTAGCTAATAGGGAAAGAAAGAGATGAAAGAAAGAAAAAATAACACTAACATTTCATATTTACCAAATTTTATACAAAAATATCTTGAAATACTAAAGAGTAAATTTATCGCCATTGGCTTCAACCAATTTGGGGAATGCTGCCTTTGTCCTTGTCTTCCGTTCATCTTTGATGATGGAGTTTTGTTGGTCTCTCGCTCCACTGCACCCCCACACATAATAATCAAGAGATTATTATGTGTGGGGTTAGCAGTCTCGGGAGTTAGTTGGTCAGATGTAAGAGGTGATGGGGTTGCAAAAATTGTTTGACAGTTATGACAGGGTACTCCTGTTTGTGTGGCATGTTTCCAGCAGCCACCCTTCTGACCAAGAGCAACACTACCTTCTCAAGGCACTTGATGTAGGCCTCCGTGTTGATTCTGAGGTCCTTGTGGGAAGATGAATGGAGGCATAACATCGCAATCCCTTGTGATCACTCAAAACACCTTCATAATCAACTTTTTTTCGAATCCTCTTCACTGTCCTCAGAATGACACCCAAACAATCTGAAATGTTCGTATTGGAGCTTCCGGCGCGAATGCCAAGCAGTACAGCATGTCGTTTCCGAATTTCTGGCGGAGTGAATTGCTTCATGAGGCTCTTATTATCACAGACGGTGCCCAACTGACCCTACTATGCTGTGCAGTCGACAAAATCAAAAACAAACGACGCGCATGCGCGAAATTAAAAATATAAGATGGTGACAATTTACGCATCGCACCCTGTATATTGAGATTGTAAAGAAGAAAGAAAGAAATAGAAAAAAGACTGAAGTGATAAATGAAGGAAAAGAAAAGAGGACAGGTTAGTGGGAAAACAGAGACAGAAACTAATGGAAAGAGAGAGCAAGAGGGAAAGAATGAGGGAGATGGAAAGAGAGAAAGAGAAATAACATAGATTAAGACTAACAGACAGATATTAAGAAAGAAAGAAAGAAAGAAAGAAAGAAAGAAAGAAAGAAAGAAAGCGAGGAAGAAAGAAAGAATATAAAAGAAAAATGAAACTGTAGGAAGAAAGAAAGAAAGATATATAACCCTACTCAATAACAAAAATGTAAAAGACCTAGAGGAAGACAGAAAGAAAGAAAGACTGACAGACAGACAGACAGACAGACAGACAGACAGAAAGAAATAGAAATGAAAGTGAGAGTGAAAGAAAGAAAGAATGAAAGAAAGAAAAACAGACAGACAGACAAAATCAAAGAAAAAAGAAAGAAAGAAAGAAAGAAGAAAAGAAAGATCGACAGACAGATTGAAAGAGTTAGAAATGAAAGTGAGTGAAAGAAAGAAAAATGAAAGAAAAAAGAAAGACTGTGGGACAGAAAGAAAAACGGACAGACAGACAAAATGAAAGACTAAAAAAAAGAAAGACTGACAGACAGACATAATGTAAAAGAGAAAAGAAATATTACAAAGAAAAAAAGATAGATAATCCAACTCAAGAAAAAAATTACCAAAGAAAGACTAACAGAAAAAAAAGAAAGAAAGAAGGAATCAATGAAGTTAAGAAGAAAAGAAAGACTGAAAGAAATGGAAAGCGCAAACAAGAAAGAAAGAAAGAAAGAAAGAAAGAAAGAAAGAAAAACAAAAGGAAAAAGAAAGAAAGAATGAAAGAAAATGATAAAGGAAAATTACAACTTAAATCAGAAAAAAATATGACTGGCAAGAAAAATATCAAATGAAGTTTATAGCAAAAGAAAGAAGGAATGAAGAAAGAAAATATTAAAGAAAAGAAAGTAATAAGATACAAAGAAAGAAAGAAAGAAAGAAAGAAAGAAAGAAAGAAAGAAAGAAAGAAAGGTAATACCTTGTCATTGTTTCATTGTAACTTTTGAGTCAGGTCAGAATTGGAAGGTTAATTGTGGGTTGGGTTGGCATGGTGTCCACGTAGCGTGACGGGCAATTGTCAGATACGCTAGACCACATTTATTTGTTATTAGTTCCTTCTTAGCAGGAAGCAAATTTATTCACCGACCATCCTTCTTGTCAGGGAATTCATATCATTGCGATATATAATTCATCTTTAGTTCTTCAGTTTAAAGCCTGTTTTTTTTTTGTTTTTTGTTTAAGAAAATTGAGTTTCGAGATCTTTACAAGAGTCTGTTATTCTGTATTTACAAAAATCGACACGTTCATATATATATATATATATATATATATATATATATATATATATATATATATATATATATAAAAAAATTCAAAATCGTTCTTAAAATACGGGGTCGATGAATTGTAGTAAGCTTTTCCATTTATGATTTGAAAATATTGCTTTTACTCAACAAACAAATTAATAAAAAAAAAGATTTGAAATTTTATAAATAACTAGCAGCATGGCCCGGCGTTGCCGGTGCTTGATTCAAAAATCGTACGACTCATACAGTAACCACTATCACTTGACTTAAAATATTTTTGCCCTACTTTTTCTTTAAAGGAGTACCCTTTGCCGTGCTGATGTTGCTACATGCCTTACTCATTGCCTATCTCACACTGCGATTTTTTTCTAAGCTTTATACTAAACATTAAATCTGTTACGAAAAAAAGAACTAAACAAAATAAACACAAAACGATCAGCTTTAAAAAAGGACTCGTAACTGGAAAAACCGAATGAAAAAGAATGTTAACAACAAATAATTTTTCACACCCAACCCAATTCTGCGGAATCAGAATCAATGTTGAGTTTAAGCAAGCGAATGAGCCAATTGGAGTAAAGTGCCATGCAGATTTAAATTTTTCCCACTTGTGACGAATGCAGCTATCGATTTTTTTGCATTCTAGCATGCTAGTTAACATTCGTGTCAGTCAACTGTTGGCTCTCACGCTGGTCATTAGAATCTTCCTGCCTATTCGTTGGCAGCCAGCTATAGACTCTCACTCTGACCAGTAGAAAATGGCCGCAAACTACATGAAAACTGCCGTAGAAGCATGAAAAAATCAATTATTTCCACTATCGATGGGAGTTGGGAAATGCAAAGTCGGTGTTGGCCTTCCCGCTAACTTGGAGCATGTGCATGTAAATTTTGGTGCAAATCCGTCGAAAATTGCGGCCGTGCATTCGTTACACACACACACACACACACACACACACACACACACACACACACACACACACACACACACATCCTGCTTATTATAGATAGAGATTATATTTAAATTTTGAGAAAATGAAAACTATTCTTGTAAAAATTCATTGTTCATCTATTTTTCCCTAAAACAAAGGTGTTCGTAATATATCTTATTCATAAGCGTAATTAAAAGCTTTTATAATTAAATAATGTCTTAGTTTCATTCAGTCCGTGCGTGATAACACGCTTAGGCGATCATGTATTTTTCGATAGATAACTGACGAGGTAGATTTTTCCCGCAGTAGGTTGCCATTTCTTTCTGCGGTAGACCAGTTGCCATCTAAGGCTCTGGTCTGTCCTGCTATTCAACCCTAACGAAGAAGAGGATTCTTACCTTTTCCAAAGGTATTAGCAATGTAAGAATGTAATGGGATCGACTGGAATTCGAACTCGGCTCTCCGATTCCTCAATCCAAGCCGCTATCCATTATTCCGGTGTCTGCGTTATGATTTAAATTTTCAGAGGACTTGTCTTTATAACTAATATAAACGTTAATCGACACGAAGAAGAATTTCATGAGATTCCATAAAATTAAATAAGTGAGGGGTAACAGATGTAAAAAAAAAAAAAAAATCCTAAAGATTTTCTAAAAAAGAAACGTTTCTAAAATAATTTAATTCCTTTGTGAATAAGTCTTAAAACGTTCATTAAAATCCGACAATTATTTGATTTTTGTAAGATTTTCCAAATCATCGTGTTGTTCACCGTGAAAATATCCCGTATTAATTTATGGTTCTCTGTTGACGCAAGAAAAAGAAAATGTTAAAGAAAAATTTCGAACGATCTAAAAAGGATTTAAAATATAATTTATTAACAAAAAACAAAAAAAAACCCTTTGGTCTTTCCATTTAATAATAACATGAAGTTTTTGACGATAAGTTTGGGCCATTTTCGTCACTATGGTATGCTCACTTTTTAGTGAATCTTTTATATATACTTAGAAGAAGGCATTGAAGCGCTTTAAGCCATAAGAATGTGTACATTCACATAAGGAAAACTTGTTTTATACGCATGTATTCACCCAACAATTACTGTATATGCACGCACGCACACACACTTACACACAGACATACATGCGTGCAAGCGCCACAGACACACACATATATATTCAAACATATATTGTTAAATATACTAAAATTGAGTTTCATATTCCTTTTTTGTGCATATTCACATATAAAAAAAAAATCTGGCAATAGACGGGCATTAGACTCTGAGTAATGGATAAAAATATTGAAAATTAATGGGTATACGAATAATTTCGTCGTTGGCAGTATCTATCTATCTATCTATCTATCTATCTATCTATCTGTCTATTTGTCTGTCTATCTGAACCTCTTCTGTCTGTCTATCTATCTGAACCTATTTGTTTGTTTCTATCTATCTATCTATCTATCTATCTATCTATCTATCTATCTGTATGTTTGTCTGTTTGTCTGTCTATCTGAACCTCTTCAACCTATCTATCTATCTATCTATCTATCTATCTATCTATCTATCTATCTAAACCTGTTCTTTCTTTCTTTCTTTCTTTATTTATTTATTTACTGCATTCAGTTCAAGGATTTCTACTTTGCTTCACTATGACTTTTTCTCTAACTTACCATGACTTCGAGCCTAAATACTACGTAGCAGGAAAGATCTGCAAGCAACATTGGTATTTTTTAATTAATTTTTTCTTTTTTTTTTAGATCTAAACATAAATTCAAAATTTTCGGGCAGAACAATTTCACTCTTATATATTGAGATAAATAAAATTGAAGTAAGTTTTCCTTTAATAAGTACGTAGTATAGACAGTTACTAAACGTAACTGAGGTGTGGCACAAGGCAGAAAATATGGTGCACCCAGTGAGGATCCAACCAACTCCTGGGTCGTAATTGATCTAGCGAGGAAAGTTTGCTAACCATTACACCAAGCCGAAGCAAGGTGGGAGTGCCACTACTACGCAACGGGTTACAGAGAGTGAGAGTAAGAGTAAAGAGGAGTGTTTGGGAAAAGGATAAAGACAAGGACAAGGACCAAGGTCAAGGCATCAGAAGATGTCGATTGACATTACATTTGAATATTTGAAGATAATAGCTATCAGGGAAGCAAGTAAGAGGAAGGGAGTTCCACTGTCGGGAAGTGCGAGAGTTAGTAGCATATACAGAAAGATAATAATCGAATTGAGTGTTGTAAATACTTGTTAATGCAGGTAAAACATTCACTCTTATTTGCTTGTAGATCAGAGCAACAGATAAACAGGTCTGTTTGTAGAAAATAATTTGATTGATGCAGCAGATAAACTCCAAAACGCCTCGAAATCGTGACAAATTTGCAACGCTCATCTTATCAATGGCCGACAAAATATAGCTCCCAAAGCTGAATAAACAGTTGAATGTTAATTTAATGATTTCACCCCAAGCGAAGCAATAAAGCCAATGAAATACTACTAAGTGCTAGAGAATAGGAAAAAAAAAACAGTAAAGAGAACAATAAAAGAACAGTAACTAAGAAAAAAGATAACGATTGGCATTGCATTCAAATGTTTGAAGACTGAAGTTAATTGGAAAGCAAGAAGCCGAAACGGAGTTCCAAAAGCAAGAAGTGTGGGAGATGAAGCTGTCAGCATAGAACTTACGGTTGCATCCAGCGATTTTAACTGTAAAAGGTTGAGTTCTAGCTGCCAGTTTAGTACTGCGTTTAAATTCATAAAGTCTAGGTACCAAAGAGGAAAGTAATATTTACTTTGGGAATACAAAAATATGGCACAATGTTAAAAAGGGGGATAGGGGAAGGCTGGTCTTCAGTCTGTCTTACCTTAAACTTAGCTAGCCACAATTACTGACCAAAACATACCGCATTATCCTTACAACAAAACAAAAATTCTTACTGCAGACACCATAATACTTCAGAGTCTCTATGTAGTTCTAACTAGTGTCTATATGTACAATTTTTCTTTTTTGAGGCGGTGGATGAAATAACCACATTTAAAAATGAAACCCAATTAATATTTACAATGAATACAATTTATATACAAGAAACTAAACAAAATAATGTTAGTAATAAAACCCGCCACAATCCTTAATTGTGGCAGAAAAATCAGCTAATTGGAGGAAATTAATGCAGGACTAGGTAATTAATAACAATCATTCGGCCAAACACTTGCTCAAACACACACTCATCCGGATACAAAAGTAAATACGAGACACACAGTCGAAAATGAAAAAGATTCCCGCATCTACAAGGGAACTGACATCTCTGTCATCTAACAGGAGAGGGAAGGGGGAAAAGAGAAAAGCCCATCAGAATAATAACTATGAAAATACCAGATTATGTTGTATGAGAGGAATCGTTTACTGAACAGTCTTCACCTGTCCACCAGCACGACTGATGCACAAAACTCTGCTATCAACAGTACAATATAGTACCTTGATACACATTTCACGGGGGAATGTTTGATATTACATCTTTTATCCTGTCCTTGAGTTCTTCGATGTCTCTAACTTATTTGCTATACACGCAATCCTTTATTATTCCTCATAACCAGAAGTCACAGGGTGTAATTGGCCAATATTTCTTTACAGCTCCAAAGGTGACTGCAAAAGTTTGCCATTGATAATATAATCCTACAAATCAGACGAGCAGAGTATTTCCAACAAGATGGTGCACCGCCTCATTTTGCCGTACTGTTCGAACTTGTCTCGATCAAAGTTTCCCAAATCGTTGGATAGGTCACGATGGACCGTTGGCATGGTCACCCACACTACCCTGATCTGACACACTGTGTTAATCCCTGAAGTGAGCTCGACACCCAATAGGTGTCCGAGGCAAATGCCTACATTGTCAATATGACCGTTCATCTGGATTGGAACAGATTTGCGGTCTTCTCGGTGTTGAATGAAACGTTATTAGCTTTGAGTTGAAGAATAGTGAAAAGATATTCAAAAGCCAGTCTTTTCCCCATTTTATTGCCAGGCACTTGTCATCCATGATATTTATATTTGTACCAATACAACATGTGACTAATTACTCTTTAATAGATATACAGGTTGAGTCAAAATTATGTTAACACTAGTATGAGAGGAATCATTTATTCAGTGTTTACAAAACAGTCTCCACCTGTCCACCAGCACGATTGATGCACAAAACCCAGCGATCAACAGTACAATATAGTACTGTAGGGAGACCACAGTTGTTTTCCTTTTGCATTAGCCCATGAGAGTTGTGGCTCCTTTTAGTGAGTAGAACTCTTCTGCCCCTTTTTTTTGTCTTCACTTCCGTTCTGGGAGGAACGATTTTTTTTCCTTCCTGACCACCAGAGCGTCCACACACGTGGAAACTGGTCAACATATGTACGGCCTGACGAAACAAAATCATTCACTCATTTGGGGACGACCAAAGGCCATGAAATTGGTAGGTGATTTCTTTGTTCTAATTCTGTTTAACCTCCTCGTTTCTTTGGGACAATATGAACAATTATTTGTTTTGGGACATACATAAATCTTGTGTATATATTTACGAAGGCTCCTTGCCATATTAAATGTTTCGTTGGTTACGCTCGCGTATTTCGTCTTTTTATATTCGCATTCAGTGTTAGTGTATCAATGGCTACGCTAATGCTAATATTAGTATCGGTGTGCTACTGAAGGCTAGAACGCGTTATTCTACCTAACATAGAATAGTCAGTAAACTCTGTGTGGCAAATACACCCCATATACTAATAGTACCTTGATACACATTTCACGGGGGAATATTTGATATTACATCTTTTATTTTGTCCTTAAGTTCCTTCGATGTCTCTGACTTATTTGCTATTCTTACGATCCTTTATCATACCCCATAACCAGAAGTCACGGGGTGTCAGATCAGGGGAGTGTGCTAGTCATGCCAACGTTCCACCGGGACCTAACCAATCATTTGGGAAACTTTGATCGAAAGAAGCTCGAACAGTACAGGCAAAATGAGGCTGCGCAACATCTTATTGGGAATATCCTGCACGTCTGATTTGTAGGTGTATGTTATCAATGGCAAACTCTAGCAGTATTTGTAAGTAAGCATTTGCAGTCACCGTTGGAGTTGTAAAGAAATATGAGCCAGTTACACCCTGTGACTCCTGGTTATGCTGGTGGACAAGTGGAGACTGTTCAGTAAACTCTGAATAAATGATTCCTCGCAGACTAGTGTTAACATATTTTTGACTCACCTTGTATTTATAGAGAAGGCACATGGGAACCCACATTATGGTGGTTGGAAAATGGCTGAATACCAGATTTTTAAACTTTACCAACAATGAAAAATAAAAGGGAGAGAATGAGTGAATTTGTTCAAATATACGCTGTTTTCTCGAATGAAAGTCGACCGAGATTATTGTAAGCATATTTTCCTAACAAGATCTCTCGAGTATTCAGGCCGGTAGATTTAAATAAATATACTGCTTAATAAATAAATAAATCTGCTGTCCCATATTCCTTTCACATACTATCTGCCAACGTTATGACATGAACACTTACGCCTTCCTCTACTGTTCGGCAACGAATAACTAATCTGTTTTGAAAGCTCAACGTTCAGACACGCTGTGATTATCGCAGGAATAAATTTTTTAATGCTTACACACACACACACACACACACACACACACACACACACACACACACACACACACACATATATATATATATATATATATCTAAGTGAACATAGAAGGAAGGCCTGACTATTGCATCTAGCATGAAACAAGTGTTGACTTCTATGTTCACTTTTATATTTACACACGCTCTATCCCTGATATTGAGCACTTTATCTCATAAATATAGAACAACTTAAGACTATATTTCTTTATATATATATATATATATATATATATATATATATATATATATATATATATATATAAATATATATATATATATATCTTTCAAAGCCCACGAAAATCCTGTGCTAAGAAATTTTTTTAGAATACGTCTCTAATAATAATGATAATTCAAACAACATTGCTTACACAACCACTACATTTTCCCGCCGACCAATGTGATATTTATCTGATAATAATTTAATTAAATCACATTTCACCAACCAACGCAACAACAAAACACAAGAAAGAAGCCAAATCATTACGAATGTGATATGTCCCAGAAAGGGATATATATATATATGTCCCAGAAAGGGATATATTTGAAAGCAGTAATCGACTGGTACGCGTCGTAGTCGCAGGTAAGAAGTGTAGATCAATGGCGTAGTCCAATGGGCGTCGTTATAGACTAAGGCTCTCTTCTTTCTCGTACCTACACGTCCGTCGGTATTTATGACGGACACAAGCCAATCATATTCCAGTGAGGGAGAACACAGGGGTACGAATATTCCATTATATCAGAATGTCATAAAAATATTATAAAAATTAACTGTAAAAAACAAAAAAAATACAAATCTTAGAAGAATTAAGAATGAAAAACAAACAACCCAAAATGAATAAAATATTTTCAAATTTAGTGAGAAACATACTAAGTATATTTAATTAAAAACAAACAAACGATTGTTTTTAAAGCCTTTCATTCTGTTCGATATATAAATTTAACTTCAAATGAGTTATTTATTTAATATTTAATCGCGTGTAACTACAGTAGTTACTACCTGTTACTTCAGATTGTTTATGATTCGCCGAGATCGAAAAACGGATGAACGGACGGACACACGTACACTGCGCTTTATTTAATATAGATTTAGGATATGTTTGCCAAATAAATGTCGTGATTAAACTATTTTGCTATTAAAAGCGTTTGAATATTTGAATTCTGGTTCCAAGTTTGCTTTCAAATGTATATCTGAACCGCCATTTTTACAATATTTGGAATTCACTATAAACCCACCATGTTACCATCTATAATCAAATCATTAAACGTCATACCGTCTTTGCGTTGTTTACGTCTTAACCTGTCAGGTCGGTTTCCGTCAGTAGTCATATAAAACTGGTTCTCTGGTCTATCGTGCGTAGAGTGGCATTCGTCCGTGCAGAAAATGGTTGAAAAAATCGCTCTTATATTTTGGTGCACATTTGATTCGCTAGAACATTCCTCGGTAGTAAAAGTAATAAAAAATATTTTCTTTATTTGTTTGTTCTCTAAAACTTCATTTCGTCCTTTTTCTTTTCTTTTATAAAATATTTTCCCTCCTGAAATTCTGTTTTGTTTTCATCAATGAAACATAATTTTCATAAAATATTCTTTCTTTCTTTCTTTCTTTCTTCTCAAAAACATCTGGCCTTTTTTTTCTTTTCTTCTATGTATGTGTTGTGTATGATACACCTAATTTACATAAGTGGAGTACCGACCATATAAATATGGGTTGGTACCGGAAGACGAGGGAAGATTAAGAGATCGAATCCAGAGACTCTGCCCGACTGTGACTTAGTCAACCTGCAGGAACAGTCTTCCCAAGAATATACCAAAACTACCTGTAAATATTGTGTACCTTTTTTCATTGTTTCAATACATTTTGTTACGTACATTTTGTGTTGTATTATTATTATTCCATGCTTATCCAAGTTTCAACAGTATGTTTCTTTCTTTCTTTGTTTCTTTCTTTCTTTGTTTCTTTCTTTCTTTTATAAAACATTCTGTTTTTCTTTCTTCTATATATGTTTCATTCTTTCTTTCTTTTTTATTTCTTCCCAAAAGCTTCTGGCCTTTTTCTTTTCTTTTATATATGTATCTTTCTTTCTTTTTTCTTTCTTTCTTTCATTCTTTCTTCTATAAAACTATCTGTCTTTCTTTCTTTTTTTCCATGTATGTTTCTTTCTTTTTATAAAATTCCTTTCTTTTTTCCATGATTCTTTCTTTTATAAAACTTTTTCTTTCTTTTTTCCATGGAAATTCCTTTTTTTTTTTAGTTAAATTTCTTTCTTTCTTTCTTTCTTTCTTTCTTTCTTTCTTTCTTTCTTTCTTTCTTTCTATAAAACCTCTCTCTTTCTCCATTGCCGTCAAATCGGTATTACGACTCATTTGAAAACTTCAAACTCGCATCGTGGCCTTTACTTTGAGACTACAATCGGTAACTCTACAGATTCTTTAAAAAATTAGCATGCCACGATGAAAAAAAATGGCCAAACAATAAAAACAAAATCTTATCATCAAAACTATTATCAAGATGAAAGACCAAAGGATTTTTTGATTATTAAATTATATTTTAGGATCCTTTTTAAAACGTTTTAAAATTTGGTTAAAAATCTTTCTTTTCTTGTGCCAACAGGCAGACCAAAGTTTAGTGTAGGAGAAATTAGGTTCGAATCCTGTCGGAGAGCGCACATATTTCTCTAAAAAGATTTCTCGATTATTCATGCTGCAGACAAAAAATATATATATATACTGTTTAATAAATAAACAGAGCGTCTCCTTAAATACGGGCATCCATTATAAATAACGCTTAAGTAATAACAATCTGTCGGATTGATAAATAAAAATCCAGCCCTTTATGAATCTAGACTACAACGTCCAGGAAATTTCCTGAAATGATTAGCGTTTGTTTATATCTGCGCAGAAAGAAATGGCTTTCATCGTAACTGCACACATAGATGTTGCCCTTCTTGACTATATAAACATTGAGATTCTAATATTTATTTATTTTATTCATCAATAAAACGTGAAGTGGTGAATAATGTGTGACGCAGTGTACATACTTTCTTTCTGTCAAGGTTGATAATGGGTGCCTGTTTTACTGTCAATATAGGATGTATACGGTTGATATTAATTTACTTGCTAATTTTTTTTTAATTTTTTATAGTAAGGTTCACCCTGTACAAGGCCCGGGAGCCAATCGAAGTAGAGGGTGACGTTAAGAAATAGTTTATATGGATAGGAGAGGAAGATAACGGCTGACTTGAACAGATAGGCTTGAACAGATAATGATTGTAGTGATCGGGGAAATGTCCTCTTGGGAGTCTGTTCCACAGGGCAGTGGTTCACAGGAAGAAGCTGTTTGAGTGGAACTTACTTTTCACAAATGTAATACAAAGGGAATGTAGGTGGTTTATTGTGTAAAATCAAGTGTATTGGAAATGTATTGGTGGGAGATTAAACGGAATATAGATACGTTCTTTTCATCCCACTTCAAATGAACTCAAAAGAAAATTATAGTATGTATACAATGAGACATAGTTTTCAATCTCTGGTTTAAAGGTTTTTTCTTGTTTTTTTTTTTTTTGGTCTGGAAATGTTATTATATCTAATTTTTCGTGTTGACAAAGGTTGCAGATGTTGCTATGATTGTTGTAAAATTTTGCTTTTTTTTAATTTTCCATTTTACAGAGTCTGTCTATATTTCTGAGATGAGGTATCATGTACATTATTTACATAATTCGGACTATTGTCCTCATCTTTGTCGCTATATTTATCACGTTTCGGCCGTTGTACGTTCCGGCCTTCTTCAGGTGGTTGGAATTTCGAACTGAACCTTTTATTTCGCTCACTGGGGTAAAGTGTTCTAGTTCCATGTTTGATGGATCTATCTCCTGTTAATTTCCCTCTAAAAGTTCTCCACTGCCTTAACCGTGTTTTGAACTCACACTCTTTGGGTCCTGTCACTGGATCTAACCAACGCCTTTATCCACTGTGCCATGTGTCCTTGAGGACAAATTCAAAAAGAAATCGGAAAATATTTTGAATTTGTGGGTCTGAAGAATTGGATTGTGATTACGATTCCAATACAATAAATTATAACCAGAGAATATTAGTGTTTGTGCGTTATTATATATATATATATATATATATATATATATATATATATATATATATATATATATATTCTTGGTCTGTATTGTACATTGAGTTCTACCTGGATTCTATCCTCTTGGAAATTTATACATACATACATGCATATATATATATATATATATATAGAAAGAGAGAGAGAGAGATAAGTAGATATAGATATAGTAGGCCGATGAAAGAAATTCGAGAGATATAATACTACAATAATAATGGTAATAAAACTAATAATATTTATTGTTTATTATGAGGCCTTTAGGTCAAATAGAAGCAAGACGATAAAACATCTTAAAGATCGGAACTTTCGGACACACCTGAGTCCTTTCTCAACGACAAATAAAAAAATGTTGAACTTTTGGGTGGAGGCATGGGGGATTTTTGTCGTACATCTTATATTACTGATGCGAACTAGTTTTTTTTTTGTACTGTTTTTTGGCTTAGTCATTTGTCACAGGCGTGTCCGAAGACCAGGACGCGAAAGGCATCGACTATGATAAGTTTCCCTTTTGTCTTTAATCCATATTGTCTTTATACGGATATATTTTTAATTGTATATCAATTTTTACACACACACACACACACACGTACGTGCGCGCGCACACACACATACACGTACACACATATACCGGGTGTAACAGCATAATTGTCCATCGCACAAAATATTTAAAATCTAAAAACCACTAAACTAATTGAGTTTCTTTTTTCCAGGTTTTCAGGTAAGACGTTTAGCCATCTTGATACCATTTGCCTAAAGAATCACTGAAAACCCTTAAGGTTGTTCAGCTAGAAAGAGAACAGGTGAAAATGGATTTTGTGTCAGACCCACTGTCTTCCCAACTGAGTAATGGAGAGAGGAAAAAGATCATCCAGGCCTTCATTAATGGCACCGATATTCATAGTCTGGCTTCCATCTACAAAGCCGAATGAAGAACCATCAAGAGAACCGTGAATAAGTTTACAAAAGAGAGAAGAGTAGAGAGGAAACTTGGATCAGGAGGTCACAACAGGAAGAGGGATCATCATTTCAATTGAGAGCTCAGTTAGAAAAATCCAACTCAATCCATAAGACGTTTGGCACGTGAGTGAGGATTTTTCTCTTTGATAGTCCAAAGAACAGTGAAAAAAGACTTGAAAATGAAATCGTACGTGAAAACTGTGAGCCAACTTTTAACTCGAGGACAGAAGGTTAGAAGGTTAGAGTGGGCTAAAATCATCTTGAATAAGTTGGAAAATGACCCTGGAATATATATATATATATATTTGAATCTTTCATCACCCTCCGGTCCTTTCATCACACTCCGATTAATTAATGATGAACATCTCATTATCGTTTACGATCGATTTCATCACCATTCTTCTATTAAGCTTGATACAACGATTCAAATCTTAATCTAAGAATTGGACAATTTTGCTGTTACACCATATATATATATATATATATATATATATATATATATATATATATATATTTCCGTTAGAAACATTATAAAGAAATGCACAAGTTCAGTTGACCAGAAAGAGAAATTTAAATTATCTACAATTAAAAAATTTAAAATAGCTAACCTTATTGTTGACAGCAACAACTCACCTACACGATCCAAATTACAACTAAGAAATATTATTTGTCAATTCACATGTCCCTTAAGGAAATGTGTTCCTGGTCAAATCAAATTCATGAATAATTATATTGGACATGCCACAAGATGCCTATTATGAAGGCTCACGTTGCATGTCTCTGAACGCAGCTCAATGAGGACTCATTTAAACATAGACAGAAACCTATTAAACATAGAGGAAAACCTATTAAACATAGACGGAAACCTATTAAACATAGAGGAAAACCTATTAAACATAGACGGAAACCTATTAAACATAGACGGAAACCTATTAAACATAGACGGAAACCTATTAAACATAGACGGAAACCTATTAAACTCTATCCACTACGCGTAGAAGATAACTATACTTTCCACTCCCAGATGTAAAAAAAAGGATGAAAATAATGGAAGCATTAATTCTAAAAACACAACATTGAATAACATCAGCTATGAACACGGTTATAACGTGAATGGCCGTGTATGGATAAAGAAGATTCCCGTAACTCTAGATATATATATATATATATATATATATATATAAATGTATACATAAAAAATGCTAAAAAGCTAAAATACATCTGAAAGCGCCTGGATATACAGAATATTTGGATAATTTTTACAGACTTTATGTCCAGAAAAAAAGTTTTATACGAACAAGCAAAATTGAATAAAAGATGAAACGCATTACGTTATCAATTGTCATTTATAAAATTGTATAAAAGAGGGATTCCTGCCGAAATGCACAATTATATATATATATATATATATATATATGTGTGTGTGTGTATATATATATATATATATATATATATATATATATGTGTGTGTGTGTGTATATATATATATATATATATATATATATATATATTTAAAAGATATTTTGTAGGTACAAAATTTAATGATCGAAATAAAAGTATAAAACTTAAAATTACGAGACATATTAAAACATGCATATATATATATATATATATATATATATATATATATATATAAATCAAACTTGTAACCAACTTTATAAATAATTGCGTCGGTCACACTACTACATGCTTATCCAAACGACGTACGTTGCACCTATCCGGCCACAGCTCCATTTGAACTCATTTAAACGCACACAAAAACCTCCCAGATTCCATCCGAAACATACTAGTAGAAAATACAAGCATAATAATCATCATTAACATGTAAAAATGATTAAAAAATAATGGAATCCCTAATAATAAAAAAGAAAAAGCGAACACTCAATATTATTAACTACGAACACGGCCACAATGTGCTGACCATGTTTGGAAAATCAAACATTCCTATAATTCTAGATACATGCACACAAACCACACATCGTTGATGATCGCTAAAAGTAAAGCCAAAATTGCTACAGAACATTTGGACAGTTTTTACAAACTGTGTCCAGAAAAGAAAACACTTGTTCGAACAAAAGAAAAATTAAATAGATGCTTATGCACCTTGAATTTTGTTTTTAATGAAACATGTATAAATGAAGGATTTCTGCCTAAATACATATACTATATATATATATATATATATATATATATATATAGTCTATTTCGGCAGAAATCTTTCATATATATATATATATA